ATTGCTGGGTCATATGGTAGTTCTATTTGTAGTTTTTTAAGGAACCTCCATACTGTTCTCCACAGTGGCTGTATCAATTTACATTCCCACCAGCAGTGCAAGAGGGTTCCCTTTTCTCCACACCCTCTCCAGCATTTATTGTGTGTAGGTTTTTTGATGATGGCCATTCTGACTGGTGTGAGGTGATACCTCATTGTAGTTTTGATTTGCATTTCTCTAATGATTTGGGATGCTGAGCATCCTTTCATGTGTTTGTTGGCAATCTGTATATCTCCTTTGGAGAAATGTCTATTTAGGTCTTCTGTCCATTTTTGGATTGGGTTGTTTGTTTTTTTGATATTGAGCTGCATGAGTTGCTTGTGAATTTTGGAGATTAATACCTTGTCAGTTGCTTCATTTGCAAATATTTTCTCCCATTTTGAGGGTTGTCTTTTCGTCTTGTTTATGTTTTCCTTTGCTGTGCAAAAGCTTTTTAAGTTTCATTAGGTCCCATTTGTCTATTTTTCTTTCTATTTCCATTTCTCTAGGTGGTGGGTCAAAAAGGATCTTGCTGTGGTTTATGTCATAGAGTGTTCTGCCTATGTTTTCCTCTAAGAGTTTTATAGTGTCTGGCCTTACATTTAGGTCTTTAATCCATTTTGAGTTTATTTTTGTGTATGGTGTTAGGGAGTGTTCTAATTTCATACTTTTACATGTACCTGTCCAGTTTTCCCAGCACCACTCATTAAGGAGACTGTCTTTTATCCATTGTATATTCTTGCTTCCTTTATCAAAAATAAGGCGACCATATGTGTGTGGGTTTATCTCTGGGCTCTCTATCCTGTTGTTCCATTTATCTGTATTTCTGTTTTTGTGCCGGTACAATACTGTTTTGATTACTGTAGCTTTGTAGTATAGTCTGAAGTCAGGGAGCCTGATTCCTCCAGCTCCGTTTTTCTTTCTCAAGATTGCTTTGACTATTTGGGTTCTTTTGTGTTTCCATACAAATTGTGAAATTTTTTGTTCTAGTTCTGTGAAAAATGTCATTGGTAGTTTGGTAGGGATTGCATGGAATCTGTAGATTGCTTTGAGTAGTATAGTCATTTTCACAATGTTGATTCTTCCAATCCAAGAACATGGTATATCTCTCCATCTGTTTGTATCATCTTTAATTTCTTTCATCAGTGTCTTATAGTTTTCTGCATATAGATCTTTTGTCTCCTTAGGTAGGTTTATTCCTAGGTATTTTATTCTTTTTGCTGCAATGGTAAATGGTCATGTTTCCTTAATTTCTCTTTCAGATTTTCACCATTAGTGTATAGGAATGCAAGAGATTTCTGTGCATTAATTTTGTATCCTGAAACTGTACCAAATTCATTGATTAGCTCTAGTAGTTTTCTGGTAGCATCTTTAGGATTCTCTATGTATAGTATCATGTCATTTGCAAACAGTGACAACTTTACTTCCGCTTTTCCAATTTGGATTCCTTTAATTTCTTTTTCTTCTCTGATTGCTGTGGTTAAAACTTCCAAAACTATTTGAATAACAGTGGTGCAGGTGGACAACCTTGTCCTATTCCTGATCTTAGAGGAAATGGTTTCAGTTTTTCACCATTGAGGATGATGTTGGCTGTGGGTTTGTCATATAGGGCCTTTATTATGTTAAGGTAAGTTCCCTGTATGCCTACTTTCTGAAGAGTTTTTATCATAAATGTGTGTTGAATTTTGTCGAAAGCTTTTTCTGCCTCTATTGAGGTGATCATATGGTTTTTCTCCTTCAGTTTGTTAATATGGTGCATCACATGGACTGATTTACGTATATTGAAGAATCCTTGCATTCCTGGGATAAAAATATGGAATGCTTCACGAATTTGCATGTCATCCTATGTAGGGGCCAAGCTAATCTTCTCTGTATCGTTCCAATTTTAGTATATGTGCTGCCGAAGCAAGCACCTTTGTCCATTTTTGAATTGGATTTTCTTTTTCTTTCTTTCAAAAAAGAAAGTAGTAGGAGTTCTTTACATATTCTGGTTATTAACTCCTTATCAGGTATATAATTTACAGGTATTTTCTTCCATGAGTTGACTTTTCACTCACTTCATAGTGTCCTTTCTTGTACAAAAGTTTTTAATTTTGATGAAGTCCATTTTACCTATTTTTTGTTTTTGTTGCCTGTGCTGTTGGTGTCATATCTAAGAAATCATTGCCAAATCTAACGTTGTGGAGCTTCCCCCTATGTTTTCTTCTAAAGGAGTTTTATAGTTTAGATCTTTGATCCATTTTGAGTTAATTTTTATATATGGTGTAAGGTAACGGTCCAGCTCCATTCTTTTGCATGTGGATATCCAGTTTTCCCGGCGCCAGACTGTTCTTTCCCCATCAAATCATCTTGGCACTCTTGTCGAAAATCATTTGACTGTATATGAAAGGGTTTATTTCTGGGCTCTCCATTCAGTTCATTTGTTCTGTATGTCTGTCTTTATGCCACTGTTTCACTGTTTTGATTACCATACCGGGGGCAGAGGTCGGTGGGACGTTGCACCAGCCTGAGGCGCGCCGTGCGTTCTCCCGCGGAAGTTGTCCCTGGATCCCGGGACCCTGGCAGTGGCGGGCTGCACAGGCTTCCGGGAGGGGAGGTGTGGATAGTGAGCTGTGCTCGCACACAGGCTTCTTGGTGGCGGCAGCAGCAGCCTTAACGTCTATGCCCGTATCTGGGGTTCGCGCTGTTAGCCGCGGCTCGCGCCCGCCTGTGGAGCTCCTTTAAGTAGGGCTCTTAATCCCCTCTCCTCAAGCACCAGGAAACAAAGAGGGAAGAAAAAGTCTCTTGCCTCTTTGGCAGGTCTAGACTTTTCCCTGGGCTCCCTCCCGGCTAGCCGTGGTACACTAACCCCTTCAGGCTGTGTTCACGCCGCCAACCCCAGTCCTCTCCCTGGGATCCGACCGAAGCCCGAGCCTCACCTCCCAGTCCCAATCTGCCCCGGCGGGTGAGCAGACAAGCCTCTCGGGCTGGTGAGTGCCGGTCGGCACCAATCCTCTGTGCGGGAATCTCTTCGCTTTGCCCTCCACACCCCTGTTGCTGTGCTCTCCTCCGCGGCTCCGAAGCTTCCCCCCTCCGCCACCCGCAGTCTCCCCGCGAAGGGGCTTCCTAGTGTGTGGAAACCTTTCCTCCTTCACGGCTCCCTCCCACTGGTGCAGGTCCCATCCCTATTCTTTTGTCTCTGTTTATTTTTTTTCTTTTGCCCTACCCAGGTACGTGGGGAGTTTCTTGCCTTTTGGGAGGTCTGAGGTCTTCTGCCAGCGTTCAGTGGGTGTTCCGTAGGAGTTGTTCCATGTGTAGATGTATTTCTGATGTATCTGTGGGGAGGAAGGTGATCTCTGCGTCTTACTCTTCCACCATCTTCCCCCTCTCTGTAGTAAGGTTTGAAATCAGAAAGTGGTTAAGTCCTCCAATTTTCTTTTTCAATATTGTTTCACCTATTTAGGGTTCCTTGAGATTCCATATGAATTTTAGGATGCATTTTTCCATTTATGCAAAAAACATCAAGATTTTCAGAGGGTTTGCTTTGAATCTGTAGCTTGCTTTAGGTAATCCTGACAATACGAAGTCTTTCTATTCATGAAGGTAGGATCTTTCCATTTATTGATATTTGTGTCTTTAATTTCTATCAGCAGTGTTTAGTTTTCAGTGTACATGTCTTTGGCCTACTTATTCCTAAGTATTCTTAGTATTTGGTGCTATTGTACATGGAATAGTTTTCTTAATTTTATTTTCCCAGATTGTTCATTGTTAGTGTATAGAGATGCAACTGATTTTTTTCTCCTGGTTTTGTATCCTGCAACTTCGCTGAATTTGTTTTATTCTAACAGTTGTGTGTGTGTGTGTGTAGACTCTTGAAGGTGGTGGTTATTGTGCAGCATATGAGTTTGATGTGGATCCTTTTGGTATTATATTTTCTTAATGAGTAGATACACAAACACCAGTCTGCATTAATGCCCAAGATATTCATATATAATAATCATCACTATATTATGTATATTTTATCTTTTCCATTGTTTGGTATTTCAACTTTCTGACTTTTAAAAATATTATGTATTACTTCTGACACACAGAAGGATATGTTGACCTTAAAAAACAAAAGAGCAAGTTAGTTTACCAGCAACATGAGTTTATTTGGGTATAGTAGACAGTTGTAATTCAGGACAAGCAAACTGTGACAAACCTTAGGCAAGTTTGGAGAACAGAGGAGAGGAACTTGATTTTGTAGAGGAAAGGAGGAAATTGGGGAGGGCTGTGGTAGCTGCAGGTGGTGGGAAGCTTGTTGCTAGTGAGAAGGAAATCTTGGTGGGGTCTGTAAGCTGTGGTGAGTCATATATGGGTGAGAGCTCCACCTTCAGGGCTTTTTGACTCCATTTTAAATGAGGTTTCCTTTATTCTTTTTCACAGGTATAAAGGATAATCCATAAAACATTTCTATCCATGTCATGTACCAAAAAGAGCTCATTATAGCATGGTTCAGAGTTCAACAAGAATTTCTCTAGATTTATAGCACTTACAGGACAGGATTTTTTTTTTAATAGTTGGTCACAACCCAGTAGAATAAAAATTGAATGCCTAGAAGCTTTATATTCCATTTGTTGTCAAATTACTTTAGAATTCTGGGAAGAGTGTTTGTGAATTATGAAGCCCTTTCCACAACAGAAATGGGTTGTGACTAAGTTATAAACTAGTACCAGTCCACTGATGCCCTAATTTCAGAAGAAAGAAATACAATAGCTTGACTAAAATGAATCAGTCCTAGCTAAAGATTCCCTTTGCCCCTCTATACTGGCAGTCTTGGAATCAGAGGAACCCTATCTCAGTCCTCCCAAAATTAAACTTTATGGAAGGAAATCCTCTTCCTTATTCAAAACTCGGGTGGGGGGGATCCCCTGGCGGTCCAGTGGTTAGGACTCCGTGCTTCCACTGCACAGGTTTGATCCTTGGTCAGGGAACTAAGATCCCACATGCTGCATGGCGGGGCCAAAAAAAGAAAAGAAAAAAAAGCAAACAACTGAGTGGGTCTCTTTGCCTTATCAGAAAGATTTAATAATTAAATACAATAAGGAAATTGATTTGTTTGAGGACCTGTTAGGATCCAAGAAGTGTACTAAGTACTTTATATACCTGTGAATCCCCTTTTAGAATAAGAAGCAGAACTTACTAACAACTAAACAGGTGGAGGAGAACACTGAGAGTAAGTTGTGTACGCCAATTACCCATAACACTAAACCTAGATAAATCTCTCTTAAGTTAGGAAAAGAACAAAATAAACCTAAATTAGAAGAAATAGATTATGAAAATAAGGAATTTCCCCACCAGCTGTTGGTAGGAATGTAAATTAGTATAGCCATTATGGAAAACAGGATGGAGTTTCCTCCAAAAATTAAAAACAGAACTACCATACAATCCAGCAGTTCTACTTCTGGGTATTCTTCCAAAGGAAAAAAAACACTAAATTGAAAAGATATATGCATCCCATGTTCATTGCAGTTTATAATAGGGGACATAAAGAAGCAACCTAAGGTCTATCGATAGATGAATGGATAAAGATGTGGTGTATGTATATAATGGCATGTTACTCAGCCATAAAAACAAATGAAACCTTGCTGTTTATAAAAACATGGACGGACCTAGAAGTCTGTCTAATTACTTCACTTATGCTAAGTGAAGTAAGAGAAAGACAAAGAGTACTATATGATTTCACTTATATGTAGAATCTAGGAAACAAAACAAATGAACAGAACATAATGAAGCAAACGGACTCATAGATACAGAGAATAAACAAGTGGTTTTGCTAGAGGGGAGGGGGGTGGGGGGATAAGTGAAATAGGTGACAGAAATTAAGAGGTATGAGCTTGTAGTTAAAAAATACATGAGTCATGGAGATAAATGTACAGCATGGGGAATATAGTCAATAATACTGTAATAACTTTGTATGGTGACAGATGGTAACTAGACTTGTGATCATTTTGTAATGTATAGAAATATTGAATCACTATGTTGTGCACCTGGAACTAGCATAGTGTTGCAGGTCAGTTTTACTTAAATTTAAAAATTAAAAAGAAAGGAAAGAAAATAAGGGCACCAGTTGGTAAAATATATAATGAGTGAAAATGGCATTGCAGGTAGAGAGTGAATCATTAGTAAGTTAATATATTATGCCAATAATTATGAAAACTTAGATGAAGTGGGTAAATTACTGGAAAAGTTATAACTTACAGGAACTGACATAAAAATAAGTAAAAAGCTTGAATAATTATGTAACCGTTAAAGTAATTGTAGATCTGGGTAAAAAAAAAGTTTCCCACAAGGAGAACAAAATGCCCACATGGTTTTACTGACAGTTTCTACCAAACTTAAAAGAAATAAATCCCAAATTTATTCAGCTTTCCAGGCAGTAGAAATATGAAATGGCCCCCAATTCATTCTGCAAGCCCAGTATAAACTTGGTGTTAAAGCCAGAAAAAATAACAAAAAAGGAAAATTAAGTTTATTTCATTCATGAATATACACACAAAAATTCTAAAAAAGTATATTAACAAGTAAAATTTGATAATGTGTAAAAAGGTAATATATCATGACTAAGGTTCATAATGGGTTAAGGGAATTTTTAAAAATCCGCAAGTATAGTGTACCATTTTAACACAATAAAACAAAACATTTTAATAGATGCAGGAAAAGCATTTGATAAAACTCAAAGCCAGTTTGTTAAGGACAGTATTTCAGGCAATTAAACTAGAAGGAATTTCCAATTGAGTATTTAAAAAAAAAAAAACCACCACCCTATAGCGAACATCATACTAAATGAGAAATTTTAGTAGTAGTCCCTTTAAAATTAAAAATTAAATAAAATGCTCTTATTATTATTACTATTTGTTATTGGTAGTCCTAGCCAGTATAGCAAGACAAATTAAAAGTCTTAAGAACTGGAAAGGAAAAAATAAAACTGTAGCAGTTTGTCATTTATATAGAAAACCCAAAAAATCTATAGGCAAAATATTTTAGAAATTAAAAGTGAGAATTAAGGGCTTCCCTGGTGGCGCAGTGGTTGAGAGTCCACCTGCCGATGCAGGGGACATGGGTTTGTGCCCCGGTCCGGAAAGATCCCACATGCCGCGGAGCGGCTGGGCCGCTGAGCTATGGCTGCTGAGCCTGCGCGTCTGGAGCCTGTGCTCCGCAACGGGAGAGGTCAAAACAGTGAGAGGCCCGCTAACTGAAAAAAAAAAAAAAAAACCGAAAAAATGTGAGAATTAGTAATCTGCTAGGCCATAAAGTCTCAACAAATTTCATAGGTTTAGATTACACAGAATATGTTATCTGATCACAGTGGAATTAAGCTAGATATCAGTAACAAATAACAAAATTTCCAAATGTTTGATATTTAAGCAATAGTCTTCTAAGTGAAAGAAAACTCAGAAAGTGTTTTGAACCGAATGATGATGAAAATATATGAGAACATATGAGCTTCCTGTGCTTGGAAGTTTATAGGCTTAAATGCATTTCTTGGAAGAGAAAGACTGAAAGCAAAACATAAATGATCTAAGTATTCATTTCAAGAAGTTAGAGAAAGAATTGCAACAGTTAAACCCAAAGGAAGTAGAAGGAAGGAAATAAGATCAGAATAGTTGGATGCAAGCGGCCCTCTGTATCCGTGGGTGCCAGATCCATAGATTCAACCAATCTCGGACTGGAAATGTTTGGAAAAAACTTCCAGATGCCATGAGTCTTAATAAGATACTTAACACCTCTGTGCCTTAGTTCTCATTTCTTTAAAAATGATGCCTACCCCATAATTTTATCATGGAAATTAATGTATATAAAATGCCCAGCAGTGCTTGTAACAGAGAGAGTGTTGTCAGCCAATTCGTATTATTATTGTTATTATTGTGAGGGCTAAAAAAGATAACATACATAAAGTTCTTTATGAAAATGTATAATAAAGTAATTAGTTAAAAAAAAAAGAAAAAGGAAAATATCAGGGAAAAAATATTCCAGAAAGTTTCAAAAAGCCAAACTTCAATTTGCTATGCACTGGCAACTAGTTACGTAGCATACACATTCTGTTAGGTATTGTAAGTAACCTAGAGTTGATTTAAATACACATGAGGATGTGCATAGGTTACATGCAAATACTACACTATTTTATATAAGGGACTTGAGTATCTGCCAGTTTTGGTATCTTCAGGAGGTCCTGCAACCCAATACACCACAGATACCAAGGGACGATTGTGTTAGTAAAATTGGAAAATAAGGAAAAGACTGAACAGATATAGCTCCAAAGATGGCCAATAAGCACATGAAAACCAGGATTTTAGCCACGTGCACAACTGTGTAGTCCTGGTTCCAGAGATTTTACAGTTACTTTCAAGTTCAGAGTACTCCACCCCACCCTCCAAAATGATTGTAGCTCTTGGTTGTGCTGCTCTTCCTCTTGGAAGATCTGTTTTTTTCTAGCCCAGTGTCCTGAAACCACCCACCACCCAGAAGCATGCCTTTTATGCGTACTGAGTGGACAAGATGAGTAGGTGGACAGACTGTCTAAAGTGGGGAGGCTTGGTGTCTGGGCTTGGGAATCATGCACTGGCAAGCAGGACTATTCTGGACCATGGCAAAGTCACCACTGAGTGTTCTCCTTTCACAGACATGCATTTTAAGACTGCTTTAAGGGGAGAATTAAATGAAACAGAACTAAGCATGTCTAGGTGACCATTTGAAAAGCCTCTACTTTCAGTTCTGATATAGCAGCTGCCATTCATACAGCATTTATATTAGGAGTAAGACTAGCATTTTCTAACATAGAAGAACTTGAAGGTAGCTAAAGATTTACATTAGGAACCTGTAACATTAGGAACTGTTTGTGGGGAAGTGTGTATTGAGTACCTGTGAAAATGAGTTTTCGCTCAAGGCTGTCACTTGAGAATAGGCTCAAAATAGATGTTTAGAAAAGGAGCTTTTATGTAGGGGAAGGGGCGTCTGAGGTCAACAATGTGAAAGAGAGAAAGTGAAAAAGTGAGTGAACCTAGAGAAAGAGGGTTCTTAGCCATGTTGAAGCATTAACAGAAGGGAGGTGCTAGATCATCATCAGAACACATTTGTTACACAGTGAGTCTTGCATTTTACACACATTTGCCTTACTCAGGTTTCAACTAAAATGAGCTCAGTAATCAAAAGGGAGTTTTCATTTACCTACCACCTCTCCCACCCCCCAGATCCTTATACTTTCATTCCTGTAACTGAATGCACGTGGGGGAAGACTTGTAAAAAAGAAAGTAATAATTTAAAGAGTTTTCTAGTCGGTTGGAGAAGTGAAATGACTTATTCAGGTGGCAAGCAAGTAAAACAAGGATGTAAGTCATCCTTGAGTAAGAAGTTGAAGACTGAATTGGAAGAACTGATTATTAAATTTTCCACAGGGTTGTAAATATAAGACATGTATATAAAGCATTTGATGAGGACTTTAGGAATTTTCAAGGGTATTTTGTGTCTTATCCTTGAATAATTGGAAACCCCACCAAAATTTGAAACCAGATCTGGTTACATCAGACTTAAGAAACAGATTACAGAATTCTATGTTGATTCAATGCCATTTGTGAATTTGGTTTTTTTTCTGGCCATGCCATGTGGCTTCTGGGATCTTAGTTCCCCGACCAGGGATTGAACCCGCTCCATTGGCAGTGAAATCGCGGAGTTCTAACCACTGGACTGCCAGGGAATTCCCTGTGAATTTCTTATAAGGAGTTCAAAGGGTCCTTTTTTTTTTTTTTTTTCCAGTTAGACCTCTAAAATAACATTTCTAAAATTAGAAGAACTGTTAAATCACTTACCTGAAGATAATGCTCCTTTTGAAGTGGTTCTTTTAGGCTTAAATAAATAGGGTTGGTTTTTATCTGTTTAAAAATGTGTGAGAGCACCTGCGATAATAAGATTTTTCCTTTTTGTGTATTTCCTTTGATCAAAGCAATTGGTTGAAAACTAATGAGCTTTGCCGTTATATTCTGTCAAACTTTTTAAAATTATGTCCTGTAGTTACGTCATGTAACAAAATGTTTTGTTGCTTAGCTCTTGCATTTTAGGACAGTTTGAGTAGAATATATGCTTTCCTTTTTGTTAAAGCATACTAAACTCTCATAAGTTGAAGGAACAATAAATTTTTATGCTACTGTTTTTATTTTTCTTAGAATTCAAGGACTTAATCTGGACACAATATATTTTTCTTAGTGAAATGTCATAGATCATGCTAGGGCTGTAGCAGCAGAAATGGGAACAAAAGGTATCCAAAAGAGGCATTATGATTCAGTAAGAGAAAGCCTCTGGCTGTATTATATCCTCCTGGCTCTTGGTCCCAAAGCAATGTTTTTGTATTCTGAAGCCAAGTGTTAAACAGTATTCATCTATTTCAGTTTATCAGTGATTCCTTTCAAAGTAAATGAGACTATATTAGGATAGAAATTTGAAAATCTTACAATTGGTTTGGAGAAAATTTTCTATTTTTTCATTAGAAAATTTCCTTTCTTTACATTTACTTAGTTATCTTATATCCTTCTGCTAGTATGTGTTACAAATACATGATTCTGAAAATTAGAATATATCTACTTAATTCTTGTATACTCGAATTTTTTTTTAAGTATTATTATTTATACATTTATTTATTTATTTTTGACTGTGTTTGGTCTTTGTTGTGTGTGGGCTTTCTCTAGTTGTGGTGGGGGGGGGGGGGGGGGGCGCTACTCTTTGTTGCGGTGCATGGGCTTCTTATTGTGTTGGCTTGTCCTTGTTGCGGAGCATGGGCTCTAGGCACGCAGGCTTTAATAGTTGTGGCTCACAAGCTGTAGAGTGCAGGCTCAATAGTTGTGGCACACGGGCTTAGTTGCTCCGGGACATGTGGGATCTTCCTGGACCAGGGCTTGAACTTGGGTCCCCTGCGTTGGCAGGCGGATTCTTAACCACTGTGCCACAAGGGAAGTCCCTCGAATTTTTTTTTTTTAATTATTGCTTCTCTTAGAGTTAAATACCTTTCCACGTTAAATCTATATAAATTATTTGGAAAGATTTGTAAATATAAAGTGGTTACAAAAAGAGGTAAACTTTTGATGGTATTGATGACTTGTTTAGGAAGCAGTACTGATGGAGCGCCCTTTCAGTGCTGTGAAACAAGAACAGCAGAGAAAATGGATTGAAGAGTTGAACAAGCAAATAGAGGATGACCGGCAAAAAAAAGTAGAGGAAAAAATTATATCTTCAAAGGTAATTTATGAAGTTTTATCGGTATAAAGGGGGAAAAAATAATTTCAGAGTCTCTAATCATAAACTTAAAAGTGTCCTGAAACTGTTTGACAAGACTATTCAAATTATTCCATATTTGCTCTTGTGAACCTTTCGTTGAATGAATTCAGTGTGATTTTGCATAGCTTCTTGTAACTAACGTTTTAGAAATTTCCTAATTCTTTGAATTTTTCATATTCTCCAAGCTTAATTGTCTAAATGTATATGGGATCAATACAGGATACAGTTTTGTTAATCTTTATGATGCTTGTTCTGTTGTGTGGTGACTTTTAGAAATCATGTTTGTCATTTGAGATTTTAAACATAAGAGTTGGAAGAGTTCTTAGCAGTTCTTATTTGTCGTGATTAGGGTGAGGAGCATGACAGATGGGCAATACATTTTGATTCATTCAAGAGCTGTCCTGGTTCTCAGTCTCAGCTGTCCTCTCGGTCAACACAAACACAACCAGAGTACTTCTGTGTCTCTCCGGACGCTCAGGACCTGGCTGATATCAGCAGTCTGTACACACCTGCAACGGGAAGCCAGGTTGAACCTTCAGAGGAGGAGCACGTAGCAAGACCTGTTAGAGACGTGGCTGTGGAAAGCAGTAAGAAAAGGAAGTAAGTGCTTCCTTCAGCACCTGTTGGTGTTTAAGGAGGTCTGTGTGCCTCTTTAGGATTGTTGTTGTATTTGTATCTTAATTGGTTTCAGGTTTGGTGTTTTTCTTTACAGTAGAAATGACAAGTAGATACATTTCAAACAAAAATGACTTAGCACCTTGTTAAACCCACCTTTTGAAGGTTGTAAATAGCTAATGGATCTGTCTTGCCAGCTTTCTCCGTTCTATGACTGCTCTTTTGGACCCAGCTCAAATTGAGGAACGAGACAGGAGACGACAAAAACAGTTAGAACATCAGGTATTGCATTGTCAAATGTTGTTCTTTGCCTTAATCATTAGTAGTCATGGCCTAGATACCTAAGTAAATGGAAATTAAAATTCCAGTATAAACTTACAGAACAGGCCCTGCACAATCCTGTGATGAATCTAATCCCTACACCAACTGGCATTATATTAGAATTATACTTATGTTGAGAACCAGACAGTATCATGTAGTACAGCCACCTGCCTTCCAAGGAAGAAGGTCTTTAATGTTTAGGTTGTGTATCTGAAATGACACTAAATCTTAAGTTGGTATTGGATATTTTTTTCTCCAGTTCTCCTGAATTCTGTTCAGGATGAGAATTAGTTCTTTGAAAGGGAAATAGATGCAAGGGATTGAAGTAGAATTATGATTAAGAAATCTAATGGATAATATAAGAAAAGAAACTAAGATTAAAATTTTGTCCTAATTTTAGTCTTATACTAAAGGGACTTAAATGTCCAATAATGCGGCAAAATCTCTACTATATGAAGAATTTGGCTTAGTTAATATGGTTACTTGCAGTCGGTTAAGTGAACAGACATTTATAGAGCATCTGCTATTTTTACCAGGCACTATGTATGCTAAGCACTGAGATTGTTTCTTCAGTTGTTTTTCTCTTAGTTCTTCTACGAGCCCTCTTGGGGTTAAAGAAAAAGCATGTAAAACTTGATGGGAGATGGGAAAAATACATTGGAAACCTGACATTTTAATTTAACTCATATACGTATTACTGTCTATATATTGATAAACATTTTTGAAACACCAGATGCTTTATGGATTTTTTAAAAATTTATGACAATAATTTATGTTACTGTTTATGACTAGAAAGCCATCACTGCTCAGGTAGAAGAGAAGCGCAAGAAGAAGCAGCTCGAAGAAGAGCAAAGAAAGAAGGAGGAACAAGAGGAGGAGCGTCGTTTAGCACGGGAACAAGAGGAGATGCAGAAACAGTATGAAGAAGATATACTTAAGCAAAAACAAAAGGAAGTAGGTATTTATATCCTAACTGTAACATTTTAGAGTAAAAATGGGTGTGTTGTTTTTTGGGTTTTTTTAAAATTTGTTTTTGGCTGCGTTGAGTCTTTGTTGCTGTGCGTGGGCTTTGTCTAGTTGTGGCGAGCGGGGGGGCTACTCTTTGTTGCGGCGTGTGGGCTTCTCATTGCTGTGACCTCTCTTGTTGCGGAGCACGGGCTCTAGGCACGCGGGCTTCAGTAGTTGCAGCATGCAGGCTCAGTAGTTGTGGCACACGGGCTCTAGAGCGCAGGCTCAGTAGTTGTGGCGCACAGGCTTAGTTGCTCCACGGCATGTGGGATCTTCCCGGACCAGAGATAGCACCTGTGTCCACTGCATTGGCAGGCAGATTCTTAACCACTACGCCACCAGGGAAGTCCCTGGGTGTGTTTTAAATAAGAAATAACCAGAACATTTGCATGTGTTTTGAAGTTGTGAAACTATGCAGAAACATTAAAGCTTTGCATAAAGAAGGTTTGAAAGTAGGAGGGAAGCTGGAGGTTTTATTGTTTCAAATGATTGATTCACAAATGGCTGTACTCCTTGGGTTTCTTTCTGCTGAGAAGGTCAGGATGAGTTATTACAAAATAAAACAAAAGTTATCCATTTGCTTGATTTTTAAATGTTTTCTAAGCAATGATTATACTAATAAATTTCTAAATAGGTTAAGAGAAATGATTGGCCTTTCTGTCTGTATCCACTTGTGAACAGGAGCATTTACTTGCAGAGTCATTGGCTGGGATTGATGATAGTTTGTTGCTGTGTTAGAGGATTCCTCTGTGCTAAGTAAGGGTCTATTAAAAAGAGTAGATATCTGGTTGGCTAGGAGAACCCCTATATTAAGTGGTACAGACTGCATAGGTACGGTGATGTCAAGTGCCATGTTTGAGTGGGCCTGACAAAGAGCAAGTTATACAATGACATTTGATTGCCAAAGGTTCGTGAGGTCTACAGAGCAGACTATACAGCGCTCCCCCTGGAGCTGGGAGGTGGCGCTGAGAGACTGCCTTTTCTTGCCGTTTCCCACTTGCAACCTTTACTTCAGAGTTAGCTGATGAAGGTACAAATGATTTAGGTTCTGATTTCATTATGTTGAATAGGCTGAGCCAACTACACCTATGAAATAACTACATATGTGAAAAAAATCAAAGTGTGATTTGCTTGAATTGCAAAAAATGGCTGTAAGTCTTGAGTATTACCTCCTGTTATCTTTTTTTATCTTAATAAAATTCAGGTGGAATTGACTGTTGGTTTTAGAAGTTTTGAAAACTTTATAGCATGGGTAAAAGAGTGTTTGTATTTGTGGTCTAATACAGCTGTAGAAAAAGATACTAAAATGTAATCTGCAAAAGGGAAGGAACTTTGTTCTCTTGGCTTCTCTACTCCCAGTATCATGAATAGTGCCTGGCACATAGTAGGAGCTTAGAAAATATCTACTGAGAGAAAATATTCAAGTCTGTACGTTTGATAATTGTATTTAATTAACTTTGCGCACTTCAATATTGATAGGAAATCATGACCCTTAAGACAATTGAACTGTTCCAGACGATGCAGAGAGCACAGGAGTTGGCACAGAGACTGAAACAAGAACAGAGAATCCGAGAATTGGCTCAAAAGGGACATGACACTTCTAGATTGATTAAAAATCTTGGCAGTAAGCACTGGACTAGAATTTTATTTATAATATTTCTTGAAAATTTTAAATAATTGCCTATTTTTAATACCTTTAAACACCTGTTAACTAAATATTTTTTGAGGAATTTCAGACTTTGAACTAACGTAAAGTTATAATGCTTACTTGGGAAATTGCCTTAAGAGTAGAACTAAATAATGTTATAATTTTCAGTATCTTTTCACATACATTTTCTTATATTTTCCTCACAATAGGTAAAATGTATACTTTTGTACCCATTTTTACAGAGGTATCCATTAAGTGATCTCCCAAAATTCAGTAAGGGATAAGAATGCTGATAGCTTTTTGTAAGAAACTTTAGCCCTTCTAAATTTTTATTGCAGTGTTTGCACTGCTTGATTAAACTAAGAGTCTTGTGTGTATTTAGTTGCTGCTATGTCATTTTATCACATAACTTATTTCTCTTGCCAGTTGATACAATACAAGTGGAATATAATGCATCTACTGACAACATTGCAAATTCAGCACATGGCTTGGATAAAATCAGTGGTAAAATGAATGCATATATCAGCTCTACAGCCTCTCTGAGGAAGGACACTGGTGTGCAAACGGGTACTGGTGTATAAATTGTGATTTGGCTTAAAATTTACTTAAAATTTAAGTCACAATTAGAAGTAAGTTAAATTAATTTAAAATGTAAAGGAATTTGAGGTTTTCAGTAAGAGTTAGGAAATAAAGGTATTTCTTGGTTTTTAATTTCTCTATAGCAGCTTTATTAAGATATAATTTACATAGCATAAAATTTACCCTTTTAAAGGGTACAATTCAGTGTTTTTTAAAAGAGCACAATTCAGCTTTTATATTCATGGTTGTGCAACTATCACCGTAATTAACTTTAGAACATTTTTATCACTCCAAAAAGAAACCCTGTACCCATCGACAATCATTCTCCGTTTCCTCTCTCCCCTCTATTCTTGGGCAACCACCAGTTTACTTTCTGTCTCTCTAGATTTGTCTGTTCTGGACATTTCATATAATTGGAATCCTATCATATGTGGTCTTCTCTGTCTGGATTCTTTCACTTAGTATGTTTTAAGTTTCATCCATATTGTTGCATGTAATAGTAAGTACTTCATTCCTTTTTATCACTGAATAATATTCCATTTTATGGATATACCACCACATTTTGTTTATTCCTTCATCAGTTTGAGGACATTTGGGTTAATTCCACTTTTTGGCTGTTGGAAATATGCTGCTGTGAACATTCATGTGCAAATTTTTGTGTAGACATAAATTTTCAGTGTCTTGGGGGAGAAGAGTAGCATTGCTGAATCGTATAGTAACTGTATGTTTAGAATATTGAGGAACTACTGAATTGTGTTCCACAGCAGCTGTACCATTTTACATTCTCATCAGAAATGTATGAAGATTCCAATTTCTTTACATCCTTGCCCATACTTACTATTCTCATGGTTGTAAAGTGCTCTCTCATTATGATTGCTGACGTTGAGCATCTTTTCATGTGCTTGTTTTAAATTTTTACATAACTAATTAGGTAATATCCATGTTGGGTATCATTATCATAGGTCTCCATGCTTACTGTGAATCCTTTCAGCCCTCCACCCATGCATCTAGGAAATATTTTTCTTTTTTTAAATAACTTCCAATAAATCTTTTCTTTTTTTTTGTAAAATTGAGATATAATTGACACATAATATTAGTTTCAGGTGTACAACATAATGTTTGATATCTGTATATATTGTAAAATAATAACAATAAGTCTAGTTAACATTCGTTACCATACAGAGTTACAGTTTTTTTTCTTGTGATGAGAACTTTGAAGATTTACTCTCTTAGCAACTTTCAAATATACAGTACAATATTATTACTATAGCCAACATTCTGTACATTACATCCCCAGACTTACTTATTTTATAACTGGAAGGTTGTACATTTTGCTCACGTCCCAACCACCCTCTCTGGCAGCACCAGTCTGTTCCCTGTATCTATGAGGTTTTTTTTTTTTCCACCCAGATTCCACATATACCTGAGGATCATATGATATTTGTCTGTCTTTTTGACTTATTTTACTTAGCATAATGTCCTTTAGGTCGATTCATTTTGTTGAAATGGCAAAATTTCATTCTTTTTTATGGCTAATGTTCCATTGTGTGTATATACATGTGTGTGTGTTTGTGTGTGTGTGTGTGTACACACAGTACATTTTCTTCTTTCATTTATCAGTAAACACTTAGGTTGCTTCCATTTGTTGGCTATTGTAAATAATGCTGCAGTGAACAAAGTAATGCATATATTTCTTTGAGTTAGTGTTTTTATTTCCTTCAGCTAAGTACCCAGAAGTGGGATTGCTGGATCACATGGTTCTATTTTTAATTTTTAAGGAACTTCCAATACTGTTTTCCATAGTGATTGCACCAGTTTACATTCGCACCAACAGTGCACAAAGGTTCCCTCTTCTCCACTTCTTCACCAGCTCTTATTTCTTGTCTTTTTGATAATCGCCATTCTGACAGGTGTGAGGTGGTATTTCATTATGATTTTGATTTGCATTTTCCTGATGATCAGGGATATTGAGCATCTTTTCACATATCCGTGCTGGCTATCTAGATGTTGCCTTTGGAAAAATGTCTATTCAGATATTCTGCACATTTTTTAATTGGATTTTTTTTTTGCTGTTGCATAGTATGACTTCTTAATACATGATACATGATTTGTATATATTTTCTCCCATTCAGCCTTTTCATCTTGTTGATGGTTTCCTTTGCTGTACAGGACCTTTTTAGTTTGATGGAGTCTCAGTTGTTTAGTTTTGCTCACGCTACCTTTGCTTTTTGTGTCAAATCCAAAAAATCACTGCCAAGACTGGTGTCAGAGAACTTACTGCCTAAGTTTTCCTCTAGAAGTTTTATTACTTCAGGTCTTAAATTTAAGTCTTCAATCTGTTTTTAATTCATTTTTGTGTATGATGTAAGATAGTGGTCAAGTTTCATTCCTGTGCATGTGGCTGTCCATTTTTTCCAATGCCATTTATTGAAGAAAATGTTGTTTCTCTTTGGGTCTTTTGTTGTAAAACCATTGACCATATATGCATGGGTTTATGTCTGGGCTCTCTATTCTGTTTCACTGATCTATGTGTATGTCTTCATGCCAGTACCATACTCTTTTGATTGCTACAGCTTTGTATTACACTCTGAAATCAGGAAGCATGATGCCTCCAGCTTTGTTCTTCTTTCTCAGGATTGCTTTAGCTATTCAGGGTCTTTTGTGGTTCCATACAAATTTTATGATTGTTTGTTCTGTTTCTGTGAAAAATATCTTTGGAATTTTGATAGGGATTATGTGGAATCTGTAGATTGCTTTGGGTAGCATGGTCATTTTAACAATATTAATTCTAGTCCATGAGCTTGGAATATGTTTCTATTTATTTGAGTCGTCTTCAGTTTCTTTCATTAATGTCTTATAGTTTTCAGTGTACAGGTCTTTCACCTCCATGGTTAAATTTATTCCTAGATATTTTATTCTTTTTTATGTACTTGTAATTGGGACTGTTGCAGTTGGAAATGGGATTGTGTTCTTAATTTCTCATTCTGACAGTTCATTATTAGCGTATAGGAATGCAGGAGATTTTTGTATGTTGATTTTGTATCCTGCAAGTTTACTGAATTCATTTGTTATTTCTAATAGGGTTTTTTTTGGTGGAGGCTTTAGAGTTCTCTGTATACGATATGTCACCTGCAAATAGTGACAGTTTTACTTTTCCCTTACAAATTTGGATGCCTTTTCTTTTTTTTTTTTAAGATGTTGGGGGTAGGAGTTTTTATTAATTAATTTATTTAGTTTTGCTGTGTTGGGTCTTCGTTTCTGTGCAAGGGCTTTCTCTAGTTGTGGCAAGCGGGGGCCACTCTTCATCGCGGTGTGTGGGCCTCTCACTATCGCGGCCTCTCTTGTTGCGGAGCACAGGCTCCAGACGCGCAGGCTCGGTAGTTGCGGCTCACGGGCCTAGTTGCTCCGCGGCATGTGGGATCCTCCCAGACCAGGGTTCGAACTGTGTCCCCTGCATTAGCAGGCAGATTCTCAACCACTGCGCCACCAGGGAAGCCTTGGATGCCTTTTCTTTCATTTTCCTCCCTAATTGCTCTCGCTAGGACTTCCACTACTATGTTGAATAAAACCAGTGAGAGTGGGCATCCTTGTCTTCTTCCTGGTCTTTGAATAAGTTTTCAGCTTTTCATCATCAAGCATGATTTTAGCTGTGGGTTTGACATATATGGCCTTTATTAGGTTGAAATACTTTCCCTCTGTACCCACTTTGTTGAGAGTTTTTATCATAAACCATTGTTGAATTTTGGCAAATGCTTTTTCTGCATCTGTTGAGATGATTATATGATCTTTATCCTTCACTTTGTTAATGTGGTATATTGATTTTGTTGCTTTTGGATAGAACGTTCTGTATATACCTGTGAAGTCCTTCTGATTTAATGTATCATAAAAGGCTATTTGCTTATTGATTTTCTTTCCGGATGATCTATCCATTGATGTGAGTGGGGTATTAAAGTCTCCTACTATTACTGTATTGCCATCTATTTCTCCCTTTATGTCTGTTAATATTTGCTTTATGTGTTTCGGTGCTCCCATGTTGGATCCATAAATACTTATAAATGTTATATTTTCTGGTGGATTGACCTCTTTAAATGCCCTCCTTTGTCTCTTGTTACAGACTTTGTTTTAAAGTCTGTTTTGTCTGATATAAATATAGCTATTCCCACTTTATTTTGGTTTTCAATTGTATGGAATATCTTTTCCCTTCTCTTCATTTTCAGTCTGTGGTGTGTCCTTGTATCTGATGTGAGTTTCTTGTAGGCAGCATATAAGATAAGTGTGGGGTTTTTTTTTTAATCCATTTAGCCATTCTTTCTCTTTTGATTGGAGAATTGAGTCCATTCACATTTAAAGTAATTAAGGATAGAAATGTATATATTGTACTTTTGTTAATTGTTTTCTGGTTGTTTTGTAGTTCCTCTTTGTCCCTTCCTTGGTGTTTTGATGACTTTCTTTAGAAGTATGCTTAGATACCTTTCTCTTTATCGTTTGTTTATCTACTATAGGTTTATGCATTGTGGTTATCATGAGGCTTACATATACCAACTTTATAACAACTTAAGTTTGAATGCAATCTAAAGCTCTACATTTTTACTCTTCCCCTTCGTGTTTTATGTTTTTGATGTCACATTTTATATCTTTTACTTTGTGTGTCCCTTAACTATTCTATTTACTTTTACTGCTTTTGTCTTTGAACCTTCATACTAGCTTTATGAGTGATTTATGAGATTTATGAGTGAATAATCCACTGCCTTTAATATTAACCTTTACAGTGAGATTTATACTTGTATATGTTTTTCTGTTACTAATTATAGCACCCTTTCTTTTCAGCTTAAAGAAGTTCCTTTATAAAACCAGTTTGGTGGTGATGAACTCCTTTAGCTTTTGCTTATCTGGGAAAACACTCTTTCTCTCTCCTTCGATTCTGAATGATAACTTTGCTGGATAGAGTATTCTTTTTTTTTTTTTTTTGCCATACGTGGGCCTCTCAC